AAAAGCTCGTTCTAATTTCAAGCATGTTTAAGTATTTATGGACATGAACAAAAACAGGAAATATATAAATTGAGATTTATTTAATTAATATAACAAATAAGGGGGAAAGAGTCATTGAAAGGCACGTTCTTCTGAAAGTTCCTGATCCTGATGACACCAGCAGAGGAGACCAGCTGCAGACACCAGAGACCAGCTGCAGACACCAGAGGACCTAGAACCAAGAGAGCAGCTGTTATCAGTAAATAAATAAAGAAATCAGGGCAGTTTTAGTGGGCTGAACACATTACAGAATAATTTTCTCATGGGGTATTTTCATAACTTTATATGCAGCAGACTGTAACTTGAGCCCAGAGCTACCGGAGAGCTGCTATCCAGCACGTTTCAGTGGTTTTCCTGCTTTAACAGGTTAGATTAACTGTTAAGCAGCTCAGCTATTTGTTGCTGATTAAAACCAGGTGTGCTGAAGCAGATAAACCTCTAAAACATGCTGAATACTAGCTTTTTAGGGCCGTGGAGACAAACCCTGCAGCTAATCCAATGCTATGGCTAACGGCTACTTACCTTTCAGAGGTGATTCTGTTGGGTCGGTTCTGGGAGTTTCAGGCAACTCACAAGCTCAAAACAATAAGACTCAGGTCCGCTTGTCTCCTCCAAATAGACTTGGTCCCTTTCTTCTCGAGTGTCTGTGTAAGGAGGGGGAGAAACGTCCTCCACTTCTAATAACTGCTCAGAGTGAAGGGAGCTAGCTTCGTCTAGTTAGCCATCGTCTTCGTCACTGCCGCGGCTCCGCCCTCTTGGTCCTCCAGGCAACGCCTACTAATGTTGCATTTTTTAAAATTGATACGTGGGTGGAGAAGGACTCCGAGGCTCAATTGACCCGCTCTTTAAAGAAACTAAATGTTTTGGCTTTGATGTCGACTTCAGCTTCTCCTTGAAGATGATTGATGTCAGAGTGAACTCATCTATTTACCTTTTCGGTCCTGCCAACGTTACGTTTGCCACTGACTGTTAACGTTTGTCACAGAGATCAAAGCTTTTCCCGTTTCGTTATAATGATAGATGTCCATTGTTACTCAGTTAAGACACTTAAAACAGCCCACTTCTTCCTAGTTTCTGTGCTAGAATAACAAAAACGGGTGAAAATGGGTCTAAATTATAATCAGCTTTGAATTAAATTTGGATTAAAGTGTACACATTTAAACAGATGCCTGTCTGGGTACCCAGACAGCCCCAGCAGCACGTAAATCCATCTTTAACCAGATTAACTATATGTCGTTATCGACCAATGTAAGTCAATTTTTAACAAATCGGCATCAGTCTAATGAATTAAACTGGGCCGATATTAACAACAGATGTTTTTTCCATCTTGTTTCCATTTGTTTATCTGTTTCAGAGGGTGATAGGGTGTTTAGTCACGTGACTGTGATTTTAATAATCTAAGAATGTGTGTGGTATGTATAAATAAATTCAGCTTGAATAATTTTCATTCTATATCAAATCTGTTGATTTTAGAAGCATTAATGTCAGTGTATCGGTATCGGCAAATATGGGTTATTGGCCATAACGGTTATATTATTATCGGTATCGGCCCAAAGATATCTTCCGACTCTTGGAGAGTACAGTCGCTTTTTCCTCCTTTCCTCCCTATCTTACCCCAAGGCTCGTTGTCTGTCTTTGGGTGTACAACGCTTCTGCATTTTTTCTGGAAACTGGAAATTATTAAAAATGGACCTGGCCAGTTGGTCTCTCAACGCGATTGACAAGATTTTTTCAACAATGAGAACGGGAGAGGGGGCTCCTGGGTGCCCCTCTGGGATAGAGACAGTTGGACACATCATGGACTCCTGGAAACAGTGGAACTTGATCTGTTTATCTCAGCTGTCTGTAGAGGATTCTGAAGATGTCTGGATATTTGTGGTGTTGGTGTCGGAATTCCTGCTGTTTGGCCTGAGCGGTTACCTGGTTTAACAGAAAATAAATGCGCTTTCGAGGAATATTGGCTCAATCCCGGAGCTCAGGGATGGATTACACCGCGCTGTGAACGCACAAAGTCATATAATTGTCTAGATGAGTCGTAAGCTTGGAACTTTGGCTGAGATTCAGACTCTGGCACAGAAGGTTGATTCGATCAAGGAGCGAGTTGACGGATCAGCATGGATTGGGATAGATACCAGGCTCAAACCTGCAACCTTCCGATTGCGAAGAGGGCACTTAACACTTCATAATTCCTCTGCCAACATTGCCTTATATGTATCATGTTTGTAGAATATTTGATATTAGATGGATTGATGAATAGGTAGGTAGACAACCTTTTGATCCCTCTCTTTCTTTTATGGTCACATTTTGTTAGAGAAGTACATTTATTCCATGTTTGTTTTTTTGCCATACATGTTTGTTTATTAAGTAAACTTTTAAACACAATCAGTTTAATTTTTCTTATTCTTAGGACACTAATTATGCGGGAGGAAATGGGAGTTTCAGGTTATAGCTTCACTCATTGAGGCTCTATAGCTGGAAAAGTAGAACTGGACAGTCTGCATCTTTAACACATAGTTTGCAAATGTTTTGCAGAAAGAGTCGTCCTTCTTTTTATGTCTGAATCATAAATCGAGCCTCGAAAGCAAAGAAAAAACAACTTTCCTTGTAATTAGCTGGTATGAAGCATCACACTCAGGACTCGTAGTGTGTTGCATAAAAGGGCTGAACTGCTATCCACTGTTTACACAAATAGCAACCATACTTGGATCTTTCCCTCCCAGGGATATCTCTCTCTCTCTCACACACACACACACACACACACACACACACACACACACACACACACACACACACACACACACACTAACTGATGCTAGACTACGGAGTACATGGTTTTGGAAAACCTGATGTTCCAAGTCATTAGCAGACTCTTTATTGGATCTCTTAGGCACAAATCAAACTGGATTGGGGGGGGGGGGGGGGGGGGGGAGTCATAGAAAGCAGCGATCTGGGCTGAGCTGATTCGGTTGAGAGCATTCGGACTGGCCAGAGTTATAATTTGCCCAACAGGAACTCTGGGCCATGGTCTCCTCTGCCTTGTCATTTACTTGTCTGTGTGTGGCTTCGTGCTAACGTGGACGTGTGTGTCCACCGTCCTGTGTGACGCACTAACCTCTGAGCTGCCTGGACACACTCCAGGCCCCTTTATCCTACGTGCGTGTGTTTTCTCGTGCTCTCGCTGCCTTTTAATTGTGGCTCGTCACTTTCAGAATGCCGACAAGCCAATCAATCAACCCCTCAAATTACTCAACCCGTTCTCACAGCGGTTGTCTTTTCTTCATGCACGACTTTTTAGCTTTAATGTCCTCCTACCGAAAAAGTACAGCTAAAGGAAAACTATTTGAAGATGAAGCAGTTTGTACATGTGTGGCTTGTTGCAGGGCCTCTAAGACTTCTGCAGACACGCCACAACCCAAATTTACTTTTACTGACGTGTCCATATTTTATTTGCAAATTAAAGATCCTAAAAGGTACCATCTGCTTAAATCAGCATTGGGTGTAATGTTAGGAATTGTCAGAATGCGGACCACTGCTTTATGTTCCTGTGCGTGCGTGCGTGTGTATGTGTGTGTCTGGAAATCCCATTAAGATGTGCACAGTCAGGGGTGGGGAGATCTGACCTTGGCCCTTCAGTCACTTAACACTCCTCAGAGAAGGGGAACCTGATGACCTCTGACTCACACCACTCTCACACACACCCTTGATGTCAGCAGGGCGGTGTGCATCTGCATTTTGTGTGATTGTACCCATATGTATCATCAGGTGTTTGCATTTATTTATATGTTTTTGCTTGAAAATTTTCTCAACTTTTTGAAGCATTTTATTTAAAATTTTGCTGGTGTTGCATCTCTCATAATTACTTCTTGACCCCCTAACCCTTATTAGCAGGTAGAAATTCAGATGTGTGTTTGCAAGAGGTGGAGTTGTGTGTTTTGTTGCTGTCAATAGTATTTTTGTGAAGCAGGAGGATGTCAGTAACGTTTTTCTGTACTCTGTGGCATCTCGTTCTCCCCTCTACCATATATTATGGTTTTGCCTGGTCCAAAAGTCCCCATATGGCATGGCTTAAAGCTCCTGATGGAGTGATCTCACACTGAGTGAATTGCCGGCTAGAGGTTGGTGTGTGTGTGTATGAGTCTGTGTGTGTGTGTGTGTGTGTGTGTGTGTGTGTGTGTGTGTGTGTGTGTGTGTGTGTGTGTGTGTGTGTGTGTGTGTGTATCCTTAGAATAAGAGAGGTGAGACATCAGAGGACGGGAAAATTAGGGTTCAAAAAGGACCAAAAGGTTTCTGTCTTTCAGGAAATATCCTCAATGAAGTAAAAGTTGATTGGTTGTGATAACACAATTGGGCTCTCTCCCTATACGTTTTAAATTACACCTCGTGGTGACATTTCTCTACCATAAGAGGAATAAAGTCCAACATCAGCCAAATATTAATTCCTAATGTGGTTTACATCTGTGCTGGGAGCTGCACTGTGTGGGTGTGTGTGTGTTTAAAAGTCTCTGGTTTGAGAATGATTTATCTTTAGCCAAATAATGACAGCAACAAGAAGTAGGTGGTTTTCTAAATCCTCTACCTGTGGCTGCCCTCTAGTGGCGGGTTTGTGGACAGCACCTTTAGTTTTTCATGTCTTTTTCTTTACATTTTCCTTGACTTAGAGTCAGAAATGTTCTAATTTTATGCCGAGGAGTCTAAATCAGGCATGTCCAAAGTGCTGCCAGGGCTCCTTTTGCAGCCTTTGGCATGATCTTGTTCATTTGCATGTCTAGTAGGCTGAAAGATAGAGTTAGATCTACAGCTTGTAACATTTTTATGTCACAAATTTTGCTACTACATCTATTTTAAGCCTTTTTGAGCAGTAAAAAACTGTTTTCTGGGCACATAACTTTATGATTTTGGCTGTCGTCTTGAAACGTTTGGACATTCCTGTTTCTTAATGATCTCCTATCTGTTCCTGTCAGGGATGACAATGATGAAGATGGGTTCTGCCAGCCTTACAGAGGCATCGCCTGTGCCCGCTTCATCGGTAACCGCAGCATCTTCGTCGCCTCGCTTCAGATGCAGGGGGAGATAGAAACCCAGATCACAGGTAATACAAGGCACTACTCTGTAATTATAGTATTTCACTTGCATAACCACATTTATGCAACATAAGTATATAAGATGTTTTTCCTTTCATAAAAAGGATCTCTTTTGAGTCTGATTCTGTATAAATCAAATTCCTACACACACTTATGGCACAGTAAAAGAGAGCCCGCAGGTCAGGTCAAGGCTTAGCTGTCCGCCATCTAAAGGATAATAAACTCTTTTTGAGGGCAGGATGGTTCATATCTTGGAAAGAGAAGATCAAAGGTGTGAGAAGGGAGAAAATAGGAGCCATCTTTGTCCAGAGAGAAACTTAGCATGTAGCCCTGAGTCTGATCCACAGACAGTTCCACAGCAACCCACACCTTCAGGCGTGTGATCAAAGCATCTGGCATGGAAACGAGGGCAACAAAAACCCCAGCAGCTAATCTCAACAGTGAAATAAAGTCTACCACTCATCGTTTTTATGGAGTAAAATCTTCACTTTGTTAACTTTTTCCTCTTTACTGGCTCATCAATTGTCTTTTTATGCTGCTGCAACTTGATACTCCAGCTAACCTCCAGTTTTTAGTGACTACAGTCCTGAACATTTGGAAAAATCAGAGACTTCTTGTAGTTCTCCTGCAGAAACTGGGAATCTACCAGTTTGGCCATCAGTTCCTCACATGTCTTTAGTAACCTACTTCATTCTGACTGAGTATCTCAAATAAACACAACTTCTCTGCAGGGAAACATCTGCAGGTTAGGTTTTTAATCCCTCTCTGCAATGTGCGCACGTGGCTCCGTACTGTTTTAAATGTCTGCATCTCTTATTTTATTTCTAATGATCTGTTTAGTATTTGACCTCTGAACCCAGACTCTAAGCTGAAACATTGAGCTTTGTGCTGCAGCTGAATTGTATTAAGCCACTAAAGAATCCCTCGTCAGCGACCTGAATGTGATGTCACTTTTATTGATCATCAGGATAATTGTTTTCATGTGCTGTAGAGATGTTGGGATTGCAGCCAGCTTCAATTATCCACTCTTTATTCGCTTGTCTGCTTCTCCACACAACACGCCACCACCTCGGTGGTAACGACAACCACAGAAAAGCGTAACCTTCCAATAACCTCATGAGTCAAATGTTCAATGTGTTTATCATGTAGGGTTTGGTAAATTGAGTGCTTTAAGAGCTCAAAATAAATGACCTCTACTTATGACCAATAAGCTGTGATACTCTATCTAAATATAGAATGTCAACCTGCTTGGCCTTAGTGTTTAATCAGAAGATTCTTGGATTCTTTGTTTTATTCAGGGATTGTAAACGCTTTGTTTTGATTAAAAAAAGAGTCAGGTTTATAGGTCAGAGAGGTTGGATGATCTGTGGCACCCAGGTCCCGGAGATTGACCACAGCATCGACGTCTCGGGTCACGACAGATGGATGGAACCGCGCGTCTGGGTCTCTGAAGGAGTCTAAACAATATCAGCTTGTTCTGCAGGAACCGTTTGCTGCATCAGCTTCGCAGGTGCAAAAAGGTTTTGACGACGTGTCAAAAGCTTTGATGGTTAAAGAGGGTTTTGCTTCAGATGGCCGGTCTGAAGCTTTCTCAAGAACTGAAGAATCACCAGAGTGATCCAGTTTTAAGGTTCTCATGTTATGATTTGTGTAGCCAACCAGAGGTTGACAAGGCAACCTCAGAAACACGCCTTGCTTGATGACGATGCTCTGATCTGGGGTAAAGGGCTATTTATGTGTCACGAGTTTAACTTAACCTTACTCTGTTCTTGTGTGGGTGTAGATGGTGATGACCTTGTCATATCAACATGCTGAAACGTATTCCAATCACTGTAATCATAACATAACATTCATTTCAAACTTCAATCACTGAAGCACAGATTAATGAAACATTTCATTATATTATAATTATTATAAGTAGCAATAAACAAACATTTATTTGAAGATTATTTAACTAATAAGTTTTAAAAGTTCATATTTAATTTAAGAAATAATTCTTTGATTTAGCAACTGATCCAAGGTGTGAGTGTTCCTTATTGGAAGGCATGAAGGATCCTGTAGGACGATGAGGGAAGCTTGGGCCTTGAGGAGAGAACATTATTGTTGACAATTCGTTATCATGGGTTCAGAGCTGCAGAGAGGCTCTGAGCTCCAGCTGGTGGGATGAAGGCAGGCTGATTTAAAGGGAACACATGCAGTCTTGTGTCTCCTTTTTGACCAGATGTTGAATGGTCAAACAGTACCGAAAAACTGACCATTGCTGGACGTTACAATCATAAGCCCTTAAGGTTGTAGAAATAATGACAGAAGAGCTCTAATCATTTCTGTTTTAGAACCTTTAGATGCTGATGTCGTAGTTGGTGATCAGTCTTTTGTTTGCATTTCAACACTTTTGCCCCTTTTTCCCCAGCTGCCTTCACCATGATTGGTACGTCCAACCATTTGTCCGATCGTTGCTCCCAGTTCGCCATCCCGTCCCTCTGCCACTTTGCCTTCCCGACGTGCGATCGCAGCTCGGGGTTTGACAAAGCTCGGGACCTCTGCAGGGACGAATGTGAGATCCTGGAGAATGATTTGTGTAAGACTGAGTACATCATTGCCCGCTCCAACCCGCACATACTGAAGAGGCTGAAGCTGCCGAACTGTGAGGAGCTGGCTGCTTTTGACAGCCCAGAGGCCGCCAACTGTCTGAGGATTGGGATCCCCATGGCTGAGCCCATCAACAAGAGTAAGACGCTCTCTCCAGCTTTAGCGTTTGCCATCAAATGCGTGCAAATGGCCCACCTTTAACCTTTTGGTCCCTCAGATCACAAGTGTTACAACAACAGTGGAGCAGATTACAGAGGGACGGTCAGCGTGACCAAGGCGGGGCATCAGTGTCAGCCGTGGAACTCCCAGTATCCTCACAGCCACACCTTCCTGGCGGTCCGCTACCCTGAGCTAAATGGGGGGCACTCGTACTGTCGCAACCCAGGAAACAAACACGAAGCCCCATGGTGCTTCACGCTAACTGAAGGGGTTCGCATGGAGCTCTGTGATATCCCCATCTGTGGTGAGACACAAAAATATGTTAAAAGTTATTAATGTTTAAAATAATTTGATAATAATTTTGCCTATTTATCAGGACTCCTGGGCCATTGTGAGCCCCAACAATGTTTCATATGCTACATAGAAGCTCTAAAATGTCCAGTTGTAAAATAAACTCCTTCTAGTGCACCTTTAAAGCCTCATTGTGGTAACATTAGCCTGTAATGCTTGTTTCATTTGATCCTTCTGCATCTGTAGACTATAAGGAGAAGTCAAGTGGTAACATGGAGATCCTCTACATCCTGGTCCCCAGTGTGGCCATCCCCTTAGCTATTGCTTTGCTCTTCTTCTTCATTTGTGTGTGCCGCAACAACCAGAAGTCCTCCCGGCCTCCCGCTCCACGCCAGCCAAAACCGGTCCGAGGACAAAACGTGGAGATGTCCATGCTCACTACTGCTTACAAACCAAAGGTAGAAAGTCTACACTCGGGTACTTTCTGTGATCTCCAAAAAATATGTTTCTCACCCTAATTTATCAAAACCGGTTAGTTTAAAATCATCTAAATCAGCAACTAACTGTTTCAGTTTCAGGAGTGTCTACAAGCTGGGATGGCCTTTTACCTTCATCTGGTATTTTGCTACTTTCAGAATGTTCCCTTTAGCCCTATAACCTCCATGTTTGTTCTGACTCAATCTCAACCTTAATATTTTGGACATTTAATACTTTAGACTGTAAAACCAGACATTAACAGTCTGAAAAACCTTCTTTTTCTTTAGTTTCATGTTAATCTAATGACCTGCTTTAACGCGTGCAGTGTGTTTGACTCTCCCGCTGTGACCCTTAAAGACAAACCCTTATTTGCTCCATCTGTCCTTAAGAGCCGACCACAGGAGTCCGAACCCCTTTGCACAGTACCTTCGTGTTAGCTGGGACGCCTCCCGGCGTGCTGAGGTTGCAGGGTTCAGTGTGCGGAAGTGACCTGTCTGAGGCAAAGCTTCAGATCTCAATCATCAGATCTCAGCAGGTCCAGGAATGTTCGGCTGCAGCTCGTTCCCTTCGTTTATTTTTCTCCCACTGACTGTTTTTGCACAGCCCTCCATCACTGTCCTGCTTTCACTTACTCCATCCGCTTGTTGTGACTCTCCATCTCTTCCCTTCCTCCTTTCTAATCCCCGCCATCTTTTACAGAAAAGATTCCTCAGACAAGATCATCTGAAGGAAGCACAGAACATCAGAGAAGCATCAAAACTCACCAACTCAGCCGGTTTATTTGTGTGTCTCTCGCCGGCGTCATGTTAGCAAGCGTCAGGCTGCATAGTCGTTTGCAGAGGTCTCTGTGTTTTTAATCAGTATCTAAAAACTAGTAAACTTCAAAACAGTTTGAAGGAAACAAACGAGGAGCGGCAGCTTCTCCTTTACATAGATTGTAATATCTCCTTCCTTTCTACATCTTTGTGTGGGGTTTAGGATCACTCTGCTACTCAGCAGGCTTTACCCTGGGGTCATGGAGGGGTCAAAGCCTGTAGCAATTTCTACAGACACATTTTCTCACACACACACACACACACACACCTGGGGTGGTGTAAAGACAATCTGAGGGGTTTGGTGTGTGGAAGAGAGATGGAGGTGAAACAAACCTATAACTAAAAACATCTGCGTTTCTCGTGGTATTCAGCACACACACACACACACACACACACACACACACACACACACACCCTCCAAGCGCATGCTGACATGTGTCCGTGTGTGTGTGCGTGCACGGTTCTCACAGAAGAACTTCATTATTCATCTCGGATTTCCTAGAAGCCAAAAAACTTCAGCCAACCACTGCTCACCTCTCTAAGCCCCCCCCCCCCCCCCCCCCCCCGCTACCAAAAATATATCCTGGTTTGAAATTTAGCTCCGTATTTAAGTTCTGAAACCATAAAACCTGTTTTAAACAGATCTTACATTTGAATTTATTAATTTAAAAAAACTTCTACAGATTTCAGTACTTCCTGGTTCAATTATCTCACGCTGTAAAACAACAGAAAAGAAAAAAGAAAAGAAAACAGCTTCCTCTCTTGTCCTCAGCAGCTGTTAGTTTAAACAACAAAATTAAATAAAGGTGTCTTTATTTTATTAGGAAAATGAATGCAAACCTTGAGTAGTAATGGAGGATTCGGAGTCTATTAAAGTACCAAAACACTTTTGCTTCCATCGTGTCCACCCTTAGACGTTCACTGTGTTATTAGTGCGGCTGCTGCGTTAACACGACTAGAGGAAAATGCATCAAAGCATATTTAAAAAATGCACAATGACTCGAGCAGACTTGACTCATTTCTGCAGCTGATTCTGGAGTTTACCGGCACGCCAGTCGTTCTAAATGTTTCCCAACATCCGAGCTAATGGACGTCTTCGAGCTGGTTTTGCTGGCAGATTTCACAATTTTCCTGCATGGCTTTCCAAAACTATAAAGCGAGTTATTAGGATCTGATGTAATGGGCTGATTCTAACAATTATCAGTTCTCTTGCCTTTTTTGTGTATTTTCACAGCTTAGTCTTGTTTTTAATGTTCTGTTGGGCAGTGTGCCTGCAGCGGATTAAAACCAGACAAACTTCTTGAGTTAATTTATTTTTCTAACACAAGATAATGAAAAAAGGACTGAGCCAGCTTTTCTTTTTGTTCTTCTTTCTGAAGAGTAAAGCCAAAGAGCTGCCCCTGTCGGCGGTGCGTTTCATGGAGGAACTTGGAGAGTGCATGTTGGGGAAGATCTACAAGGGTCACCTGTACCTGCCAGGCATGGACCAGGCTCAGCTGGTGGCCATCAAGGCTCTGAAAGACATTTCCAACTCCCAGCAGTGGAGCGACTTCCAGCAGGTAGACTACAAACCACAGCCTCCATAGAAAAGCCCTTTTCTCTGTTTTTATACAGGCTGGATGCAATTTAATGCCTGCGACCATGCTTTTGTTGATTTGGTGTGGATTTGAGTAGTGTCGTGCTACTCCTAAAGCGGTCACAAGCATCCAAAAACTATTTTCTCAGTGGAAAGAACAGCCTTCCCACAAGACTGGAGACAAGTCTTGTTATATTCCCACAGCAAGTAAATGCAGTGGATGGCTACGTTTAGCTGAAAGTCAGTGAACTATAGATGAGCTCACTGGAAATAGATCCCAAAATAAACAGCGTCTTCTGACCGAGCGAGGTGACACAGCAACAGACCTGACTGCACTGAAGCTCTGATCTCGTTTTTCTTTAAAGGAGTCAGCGCTACTGACCGAGCTGCAGCACCCCAACGTGGTCTGCCTGCTGGGAGTGGTCACCCAGGAGCAGCCCGTCTGCATGTTGTTTGAGTTCCTGCCACAAGGGGACCTCCACGAGTTCCTCATCATGCGCTCGCCGCACTCGGACGTCGGCTGCAGCAGCGACGAGGACGGCACCGTGAAGTCCAGCCTGGATCATGGGGACTTTCTGCAAATAGCCATACAAGTAGGACCTTTCTCTATTTCTCTACAACTTTAAATTAGTTCAGTTTATTTATATAGCGTCAAGTCACAACAAGAGTTTTACACTGAACCTACTTAGTGCATTGAGTTCAATTTGTTTTTCAAATTAGTTCAAAGTTTCCTTTCTAAGGAAACCCCGCTGAAGGCATCAAGTCACTGACTTGTTGTGTCAGAGACTTGACAGAAATCCCCATACTTAGCAAGCATGTAGCGACAGTAGAGAGGAAAACTCCCTTTTAACAGGAAGAAACCTCCAACAGATCCTGGATCAGTGTGAGCAACTGTGATCAGCTTATCAGACTGCCACACCTGGTGAAGTTTCTCTGGGGAGAAAAAACACTTGTCATTATTCTATATTTATTATTATTAAATTATCGTTAGTTTAAAAAAAACTGCTAATACCAACACTACAGTATAAATCCATTAAGTTGCAAGCATTTTACTACTTTTATGATCATAATTACTAGGGGTGTGCCGATCTAATGGATGCATCGCTATGTGTCATGTGCCGATTCAAATTCAATTCGTAAATGTTCATAAACAAAAGCTGAGGCAGCACCATGGAGCTAGTTACTGTAATGCATTATTTATTACTTGTTACCCTCATTTTAAAGTAATTCATTACAGTGCCATATTACTGATTTTAAAATGTATGGCATTACACTACTTTTGCATTACTTTAAGTTACTTTCACCAAAACAACTTCATGAATTAGGTAATCTGACGATCAGTGAACCCATGATTTATCCAGTGGAAAGTGGTGTGGTATCTGAGTCAGATATAAAAACAGTGCTTTAAAATGATTGCTTATTAAATAAAAGCAAGAACAATCTGTACTCTCAGCACGTTGCCATCTTATATTAACTGAGCAGGGAGTGAGGTGTTGGGGGCTCCAAGCCTATTTTGCCTTGGTCCCCAAATGCCTTGATACGGCCCTGGATCTGGACTGACTTTTGAGGGTGATCTGATTCTATCACATTTATAAATATTAAATGCTTATATATTATTGCTTTTCACTGGTAAAAAGGTGTATTGGGGATAAATCTACCTACTTTTTTTTCTTTTCAAGCACTTTGTTTTGTTTTCTTGATTTTATTTGAGTTACTAAGTAAATTTTATATATATAAACAGGGTCTCCGCGGGTCCTTAAAAAGTCTTAAAAAGGCTTAAGTTAGCTTTTCCAAATTGAAGGCCTTAAAAATCCTTAAAAATGACAAATAATCCTTGAATACAGTTTCCAAAGGTCTTAAATTACTAAAGACCCAATAAACAAGTTTCTTTTTGTGTATGATATTGCCGTAAGCAGAACCGTACACATTCAGTTGGTTGTGAAAGGGGTATATTTTTAGATGAGCACATTAGCTGGTTAAGCTAGTGGGAGCTTGCGCCATGGGGAAGTGCAAGTTTAATGGTAACTGGATGGCCAATCCCACGTTCGCGACGAGGTTAGCACCGGTTCCAGGAAATAGCTGGAAATTATAGCTTAAATTAAATGTTTAAAAGTTGCTTAAATTTGGTCAAAGTGGCCTTAAAAAAGGTCTTAAAAAGTCTTAAATTTGGCTCCCTTCAACCTGCAGATACCCTGTATATAGCACTTATCACAGACATAGAATCACAAAGTGCTTCACATAGATCAAAACAAAATAAAACAAAGTCATAAAATCATAATGATCTCAACACAGCAATAGATTCACCTCAGAAAAAAACTAAGTCATAAAATTATAAAATTTCATAAACAGATCAAATATTTTTTACAGATTTGAGTTAAAATAAGAAAATAAAAGATTTTGGTAAAAGCAGCTTTAAATAAAAGGGTCTTTAGCTGTTTTGTAAAAGTTTCCTGCCCTTTCTCTCTCTAATCTTCCTGCATGCTGCATCTTTTCTTAGTCTTCCAGAAAAACAGTTTCCTAGATTTCCTACTTTCTAACTAATCAGCCAAAGGGATCTACTGAACGCAAAAATAGCTTAACATGCGCTGCGCTCCAGCAGCAATGAGTTGAAATCACCGGGGCACAGATTATGAACTCAGCGGAGGCAAAGCACTTCAGAAAAGTACATAAAGTACAGAGAATATGGGCTGAAATGAACGATCGCAAGTGAATTATTTTGTTTTGGTGGAGCGATTCTGTGAATGTTACAGCGGCCGCGCGCAGGAAGCAGCTGGAGTATTTGAGCCATTACCGCTGCGCGCTGCGTCCTCTCTGCTCATAGAATGCCCGCAAAGCTGAGTCCATAAATGGCGTCATATATGCAGATACTGGATCTTTTTTCAGGTTTCCCGCAATTTGAATTTTTAAGAAACCCTCATCTTGATTCAGGGTTTAAAAATGCATTGTTATGTTTATGTTTATTTATTTAGCAGATGCTTTTATCCAAAGCGACTTACAATTTATAACCTATAGGGCATGTTGTGATCTGTGGGGGAAACCGGAGTACCCGGAGGAAAGACACACATGCATGTGGAGAACATGCAACTCCACGCAAAAAGGCCGCAGCCAAGTTTCGAACCCAACAGTGCTAACCACTGCGCCACCATGCAATACACATACACCATACAATTGTACCGAGTAAATATTACAATTTTCTTAATGCCTTAAGCTGGACGTACACTGTGCGACTTTTTCACTCGTAGCACTCAGCTTCAGCTCAAACTGTACGACTTCCTCACAGGGCAGATCTCACGAGTCATGTGCTCACACTGTACGTCTGGTAGCAACATGTCGGACCTAAAAATATGCTAAAAATAGCAGTTTTTACACAACACGTTAGACTTTTTTGTCTTGTCTTGCCTGTTGTCCTTCGGGAGTGCTGCAGGACACACGGGGATTTATTGGGGTTGGATGAGGAAAACGAAATAAAGAAAGTAAATCTGTGTTTTGTGATCAGTTTAATTTGACATGAACACGACAAACACACTTTCTTGACAATCTTTGTGAGTAAAAAAACGTGTCGAAATTAAAACAAACAACGTGTGTTATTATGGAAATAGTGGGCGAGCGGTGTTGATGCAGGATTGCGCATGCGCCGTGAGCGGTTCTGATACATTTTGGGTCGCAGCTGCTCGCAGCGCCGCTTCAACAGTGCGATACCCTCACGAGGGACGAGCGAAATATTAAACACGCCAGACGTTTGTGCGAGCTCACGATTGCTGATTGGTAGCTGGTCACGTGGTGTTAATCGCCTCTCGTAACCCCCTGTACACTACACGACGCTCGGCGCAAAACTCGCCCCAATCTCGTGGATTCTCGCACGAGTGGAAAATCGGCTCAAAAAAGTGAAAAAGTCGCACAGTGTACGCCCGGCTTTATATTACCATATTACAGCAAAAGCAATGCATTACAGTAATTAATTACTTTTGTACCGCGTTACTCCCAACACTGCTAACGATTACCCGATGGCGGTATAAAGTAGGTGTGGGGGACGTCCTTTTAGCTTGAACATAACTTGGTTTTTTATGCATATTGAAGCAACTCTGCTCAAGTTTTTTTACGATCCACTAAAAAAGGTGGTTGTCCTTCAGTCCCTGTGAACTGTCTGATGATCTGTTCTTCACTTCTAAAGACCAGAAGCTCCAGGATCTCTGCACCGCTTCCTTTTGCCATCTCAGCTGAAAGAAACCGTCTACTCGTGTTTACTTTCATTATCCGTATATTTCCGGTAGATTTCATACAAAAGTGTGTTGGGTATGCGTTCAGTTTTACGAGACTAAGATAGTGGAGTAAAAGGTTAAAGTGAAAGTATCAAAAAACTATGAGGTGAAAAAAAATTGCATCAAAAACTCGAATCGTAGGACCTTGAAATCTAATTGTGAGGTACTAGATGGCACAACCCTAATAATTACAGGTGTCTGTGGTCCTCATCTCAAAATCTAAACCTCTGATTGGTCATATTTAGAGCGAGAGGAGAATAGCTGAACGGTTTGATGTATAAAATGTGCATGGTGTGTAAAAGTCGCACTATTACTAGAGTAAAAACTAACACCGATCATTTCCGATACATTTTAATGCCAACATTGGTCGATAATATCGAATGTGAATATCTGAGTCATTACCCTTTTTCTAATCAGGTGGCTGCAGGGATGGAGTACTTGGCTAGTCACTTCTACATCCACAAAGACCTCGCAGCTCGGAATATCTTAGTAGGTGAGCAGTTGCACGTGAAGATTTCCGACCTGGGTCTCTCCAGGGAGATCTACTCTTCCGACTACTACTGCGTCCAGCCCAAAACGCTGCTGCCCATCCGCTGGATGCCCCCTGAGGCCATCGCCTACGGCAAGTTCACCACGGACTCGGACATCTGGTCGTTCGGGGTGGTGCTGTGGGAGGTCTTCAGCTACGGACTGCAGCCGTACTATGGCTTCTCCAACCAGGAGGTGATGGAGATGGTGAGGAAGAGGCAGCTGCTGCCCTGCCCTGAGGACTGCCCTCCAAGGTAGAAAGAGTTTTCTATCACATGGCAGACATCTGGCATTATTACAAAAGTGAAAATCAAAAAGCAAAAGGCTGTCGTGGCTAATATGGAACTCCTTTGTCTTGTAGGTTTTATGGTTTGATGACAGAATGCTGGCAGGAGGGACCGGCACGTCGACCCCGTTTCAAAGACATCCACACCCGTCTGCGAGCCTGGGAGGGGCTGTCGTCCCACGCCAGCTCCAGCACGCCCTCTGGTGGAGGAGGTAACGCCACCACTCAAACCACTTCGCTAAGCGCTAGCCCCGTTAGCAACCTCAGCAACCCTCGCTATGCCGCTGCCCCTGCTGGGTACCTCTACCCAGCCCAGGCTCTCCCTGCACCGGGCCAGATGGCTCCGATTCCATCCTGGACACCCATGGCTGTACCCCAACCCCATCAGCGCTTCATTCCCGTCAACGGATTCCCCATCCCTCCAGGATATGCAGCCTTCCCAGCTCACTTTGCCCCTCCGGCTCCACCCACCAGAATAATCCAGCATCACCTGCCACCTCCCAAAAGCCGCTCACCCAGCAGTGCCAGCGGCTCTACCAGCACAGGTCACGTGAGCGGCGTGCCCTCCACCACGGGCTCCAACCATGAGGCCAACACACCGCTGCTTTCCCACTGCATCATGCCAGGGAGCGGCGGAGTGCAGAGTCAGGTTTATGGACAAGTCTCCCAAAAAGGGCTGAATCCGCTCGACCATATCTCGCAAACGTCAGCGCTGCTCACCCCCGACTCCGACATGCTGATGTACAATGACTCTGTTATCACAGCAGACCTGTAGACCAGCAGAGGGCCGCTTGTTCTCCCACTGCATGGACTTTAGTTTCTCAACCAGCGAGCCAGACTCACAGACCCATGCTGGTCACAACGGGACCCAACAGCTTAGTCGCACTTCTGGGTGTGCAAAAACACTCCTTCCACATCCACACCCCCTTCGGAAATGGCGGTCTGACTTTGTGATGCCTTACTGTTAAAGCAAGTGTACTTACCATCATGGTTTGCGAATGGTAATATGGTAGCCTCTGTTTATACAGTACTTACATTGTGAGTGAGTGAGTGAGTGAGTGAGTGAGTGAGAGAGAGAGAGAGAGAGAGAGAGAGAGAGAGAGAGAGAGAGAGAGAGAGAGAGAGAGAGAGAGAGAGAGAGAGAGAGAGAGAGAGAGAGAGAGAGAGAGAGAGAGAGAGAGAGAGAGAGAGAGAGAGAGAGAGAGAGAGAGAGAGAGAGAGAGAGAGAGAGAGAGAGAGAGAGAGAGAGAAAGTAAATCAATGAAATGCAAATAATTATATATTCAAAGGAACTTTTTATTAAGACAATTTAACAGTAAAGGAATGATCAGAAAGCCCATTCTGCATTGGTTTGTAAATTAAAATTTTGGCCAAAACCGACTACGTTTGGATTCACGTGACTACCTTTGGGAGCCTTTCATCAAGATGTCCACAAAAAACAAACCCCTTGGCCGATCAGCAGGTGTCCTACCGCCCTCTGGATTCTGGAACGTGTAAGATTTTAGGTCCGAAGGTTTCTCCTCGTGAACCTTGGTGTCTGATTCTGTTCTTGCTCATCCGTTTACAACTTCACTCTACTGCTCCTCATGAGAGCAGCTGGAATACAGAGGATCTCTAATGAGAGGCTTCAAAGGTCTTTATGCAGCAGAACTATGGAAAATGCATCATGGTATTGAACACGAATCCCTCACACACTCACCCACCAGGAAAATGGCAGCTGAATGTTTTTTTGTTGTGTTTCTGCTGTTTCAACACAAACAGATATTTAATCATGCTGAACGTGTCCTCAGAGCTGTCAAACAAAGAAGCCTGTGGAACTGGTGTCAAACTAAGTGCTGACTTATGCACACACGCACACATACACACACACGCATGTACACACACACACATACACATGAATGTACACATGCACACACACGCATGTACACACACGCGCACACGCATGTACACACACGCACACATACACATGCATGTACACATGCACACACACACATACATGCACACACATGCACACACACACCGACACATACATGCACAGAGACACATACATGCACAGACACACACATGCACATATGCATGTATGCACACACACATCCACACACAGACACATACATGCACACACACACACATACATGCACACACACACGCACGCACACACGCATGTATACACAAACACACACATGCACACATGCATGTATACACACACACACACATCCACACACAGACATATACATGCGCACACACACACACACACACACACACACAAACACACACACACATGCACGCACACACACATCCACACACAGACACATACATGCACACACACACACATACATGAACACACACGCACGCACACACACGCACACACATCCACACACAGACACATACATGAACATACACGCACACACATCCACACACAGACACATACATGCACACACACACACACACACACACACACACACATACATGCACACACACGCACGCACACACACATACATGCACACACACGCACACGCACACGCACACACACATCCACACACAGTTACATACATGCACACACACACACACATACATGCACACACACGCACGCACACACACATACATGCACACACACGCACACACACACACACATCCACACACAGACACATACATGCACACACACACACACACACACACACACATACATGCACCCACTCACACACACACACACATCCACACACAGACACATACATGCACACACACATACACACACACACACACACACACACACACACACGCATGTATACACAAACACACACACACACATCCACACACACAGACAAATACATGCACGCACGCATGTACACATGCACACACACACACACACACACATACAAGCACACACGTATGCACACACACACACACACACGCATGTACACATGCACACACGCACACACTCACACACACAGACCCATACATGCATATACACATGCACGCACACATGCACACATGCATGTATACACAGAGGCACACACATCCACACACAGACACATACATGCACGCACGCATGCATGCGCACACACACAGACACACGCATGCAAGTCGATATGTACACACACAAAAATTCTCACACAGGGACACACACACACACACACACACACACACATATTTTCATAGACCCAAAGTCATGCATACTATCAACAGCTACAAACACAGCAGTCTTATGGCGGATCATTTAATGACTCCTTCTACACCTTAAGGAAAGTGCTTCACACATTTTTACATGTTTTGTGAGAAAGTTTGAAAAAGTGAAATTATTTTTTGGAACATCTAGAGAAATTCTTTAGCAGATGTCACGCTATCATTTACTCTGACTGGGGTTCAGCAAAAAAGTAAAAATCAAGACTTTCCAAGCGGTTTGAGCAAACCCTTAGTCAGCATGTTTACATCGTTGCTTGAGTCTGATTTTTTTTTTTTCACGGTGTCCCTTTTTTCTCCACCAAGCATTATTTGTGCTTCTGCATGTTAACATCCTGGGTGGTCCATTTTAAAACATGAATATTTAAGTATTTATGGAACATAGTTGTGTTATTTTGTGTTTGGAGATGAAATTACAAGTGACATAGAAGGAAAAGGTCGTGGTTAGGTCGACAGGAAGCAAAAATCAGAGATAGTTTATAGTTGCGCAACACAACATTTGAGTAGAAGTTTTAAAAAGCATAAATGCATTTTTGAACAGGCCCAGCCCTGGCTACCTTTTGACAATTTCACCTCATTGTTCCTGAATTTAAACATCTGCAGGTAAAATCCCAGCTGTTCCTAATAGAAAGCAGACTTAACTATTAAAACAAACTGCCCTTTATGGATTTTAAACCTTACATCCCCACTTGTTTTTGATTTTAGAAGAATTATATGATTTTTACATTTTTTTATAGTCTTCTGTAGATTTGTTTAAATGTTTTTTTTGAGAAGAAAATACATTTCATTGTAAAAAACAAAATGTTGGCATTACTTGTTGCTTACAGACAGAATGGGGCTTATTTGACATCTACACGGATTTTTAAAAAGAAATAGCTGTTAGAAAGAATCAAATTTGGCCAAAAACAGAACAATATTATACCCAAAGGAGGATTTTTCTTTAATAAATTGCAGAATTTCAATGAAATTTTGCATGTTTCTTGTTTTTTAATCTGGTTCTTTAAATTTTGGCACCAGGGAATTTGAGCAAAAAGCCAAACAAGCACTGAGAAAAATAACTAAACTGATTAGAAAAGTTTGTGTAAGTTTCTTTGCTAGTTTCTTTCATTACAACTGTATTTATTTGTCAGAACGTTCCATGGCAGGCAGCAAAATACTCAGATTTCCTCTATCCTGCTCTAAAATGAAGAAGTATGCGTTTGGGAAATGGTTTAACGTTTTTGTCCTCTTGTGTTGTTTGACGATGTCAGATCCTAAATTTAAAACCTTTGTAATGTTAATGTTTAAAGGGTCATTAAACGACAACCGGGCAGTTTTCTGATCGTAACGTCAAAGATCAAAACGCCGTGTCTGTTTGACAATCAGTGTGTTCACACTAGTTGCACTACATTATGACCGACTTTCAAAGTTAGTCAAGGAAACTTTTATTCTAACACAAAAGTGCCCCAAGTTTTAGTCCTGAGAAATGGCAGCTGTTCCAGTTATTCCCATGTGAATATTTGTTCCATAACAATTTAATTCATGTGTTTTTTAGAGGTTTTTGAAGGGGATTTAGTTTCTAGGGTGAGCTCTAGGCATCGTTATTCATCTGAAGTAATCATTCATCGTGTTTTAATGTCACACCTGTCTCTTCTGTCCGAGGATTTGTGTTGTCTAAGTTAGACGGAGCTACCTAAACCACTTGTACTCAAGACTGTGAATCTTTATTGAGTCTTTTTTTTTTACTTATCAAAGCAAAAATAATTTTAAACAACAGTTATATTCTAAGAGTCCTACCTGTTACAGAAGGTTTACATACACATTGACCAATAAAGGCCTTGTCTTTATAATTTGTCTGAATTTAGTTTGCACAAATGGTTTGTATTGCAAAAACATTTATTAAATGTTGTTTGGTACGTTGTTCTGCTATTATCTGTTTATGCGTTCAATTGTATCATGATTATTATCCACTGGGTGTCACCAAATCCTTCCTGTCTCTTGGCTGCTCAGCTTGTGTTGCAGGGACCTCTTTTGACCAGTAGGTGGTGCTGTCTGACCAGTCTCAAGGCAGCTGGAAATGATGAAAGGGCATCAAAAATGTAACAATTGGTTAAAACAATCTAGTTTAGAACTTTCTTTAGTTTTTCTTGTCAGCCAAAACAAATTTAGAGTTAATCATAATGACTGTGACTGTTGATAAACATGAGAAACAAATCAAATGTTGCACAGATCAGTGGCGTGTCCAGATCTTTTAAAATGGGGTGGCCCAGGTGAGGCACAACTTTGTGCATGGGTGGCACCAATGGTTATGCTTCTTTTGTTTTACCCCCAAGCCTTTTGTGGACAATGAAAAGCCAATTTAAAGGTAAATTAGTGTGGTGGCACCTGGGGTGGCCAATCAGATTCCGAGGGTGGCGTGTGCCACCCCAGGCCACTCCCTGGACACGCCCCTGGCACAGATAGACCTAAATGCCTCATGAGAAAGTTCAAGCCTAATGTGTGTTCTTCATATGGTTGGTCTGTGCATGTCTTGGTTCAATATTTTTAGAAAACAAGAAACTGAAAACGTGGAAAAACATAAGTTTAACATGTTCTTTGCAAAATTATTGAACAGCTAACAAATCTGCATACTGGAAAATACCAAAAGTGTGCTTGAAAGTGACTTTCTGTGAATAGAGAACGTTGATTCCAAAATGAAAAGTACGTGACTTTCTGAACAATTTCTTACTGATTTTTGATGAGGTGAAAAAGTAAGAATCCAGGCAACAGTTTTTCTGGAGCGTTTAGTGGAGATGCAGAAAGATGAGAGACAGACAGGACAGGAAAATAGTTAAATAAAAACAAGAAAACAAAACAAAGTGTTGAAAAGTAAAATGTAAGTAGATTGATCTCCACTACGTGTTTTTACCTGTATAAAACAATAAGTTATACACATGTAATAATTATACGTCTGATACAATTCAGATCACCTTCAAAACTCAGTCACAC